ACTTGTTAGCTGTTTACAAGATTGTTTTATAATGACAACACATTCATGTACTGCTTATGCATTTAAAAGTAAATGCAAGCTTTAAAGGCAAGAAAAGAGATTACGAATAAGTTCTACTAGCGCTTGTCTGTTAGGGGCTGCATTGAGCACTGGGAGAATTGTGTACCAGGATCTGGAGCCGGTCGGCATCTGCTAATCCACAAGCCTCGGGTGTTTTCAAACGAGTAAAGACTTACTGTAGAGAAAGGGTCTCGCTCCATTTTATACTCTATGGGCTCTGTCGCTTTGTAATGCCACTTAGCAAATGTCAGCTTTCATCTCCCTGTCTTTATTTTTATTTTTATTTTTTATTTATTTATTTTTTTTTTCCTACAAGGTTCTAACAAAGTCCCTGACTCATGCATACTTTCTTGGGGTTTGTGCTGGAAGTGGACATCCTGCGTCTCATGCTGATGAGACCTTGAGTCTGGACCCCAGGAGCATCTTTTCTCCCTTGCAACCTCTAAGTTGTGTGATAAGTCCTGTCTTTTTCTCGGTATCCATGTGAGTTGAATTTGGCATCCGTGTAAACATGAAAGTGACCGTGTAAGCTTCTTCCTAACCATGACATTTCCCTACTAATCAGGTCAAGTGCTGTATCATCATCTTAACATGATATTACTTCATTCTGGTTTATACATTTTATTTAAGTCTATTTTATTAATTTATCTGAGTGGAAGAGAGAGAGAGAGAGAGAGAGAGAGAGAGAGAGAGAGAGAGAGAGAGAGAGAAACACTAGCATGCTCCCCCAAAAGCCCACAACTGCCGAAGCAGAGCCAGGATGAAGCAAGGAGCGAGGAACTCGGTCTTGGTCTCCAGCAAGGGTAGCAAGGACCCAGCTACTTGAGACATCACCACGGCCTCCCAGAGTCGACGTTAGCAGGAAGCTGAAATCAGGAGCTGGGGATCCCATCTACACGGTCCAACAGGGAACCAGGGCACCCGCATCTCTGGCTTAAGTGCTAGGCCAAATGCCTGCCCCTAAATCTATTTTTAATTAAAAAAAAACACATATTAAAAACAATTCATAAAGCAGTCAACAGATTATGCTTACATTCATGGCATCTGTACCAGGCATTTCCCAAGAACTTTGACACATAAACAGGTGAAAATAAGAACAAAAATTCTACTTTATGAAACTTAGTACTGTGGAAAATAAGAACAAAAATTCTACTTCATGAAACTTGGTACTTTATCAACAGGTGGCAAACCATTAACATACTGATTAATTAAATTATATTTAGTCTCTCTCTCTACATATTTAGCATTAAGGCAAAAAGAGAAAAAAGTAAAAAGAATATAGTGAGAAGGCCAAGAATAGCAGTGTTTTGTGGTGCCTGGGTCACTTTACTAAGAGCAAGAACTTCATGGAGATGAAAGATTTTGCTGTAGTTCATCTATTGTCAAAGTCCAAACGAGATCACTTCTAGCAAGGATGAGGAACACCAAGAAAGAAAACAAGAATTAAATCCTAGGACACCAAAATTTAAAAGACCCAGAAGATCAGGATGATCTTGCAAGAATGAGAAGTAAAAGCCAGTAAGTTGGAAAAAATCCAAGCAGGTTTAGCATCATGGGAACCAAGTAACCAGCAGGGTGACAAGCTGTCACGAGCGATGGTGTGTAGGAAACTGCAGTGGTGCATAAAGCAAGATGGAACTGAGAACTGGGGCCATTAGAGATCACCCTTTTGGTGACCTTGAAAAGAACAACGACAAGAGAATGTTAGAGAGCTAGAACACGGGGCTGGCACTGTGCCTCCACCTGCTGTGCTACATCCCTTACCGGCAGTGTCTGAGTCCTGGCTGCTCCACTTCCAGCTCAGCTCCCTGCTAATGCACCTGGAAAAGCAGTGGAGGATGACCCAAGTACTTGGGCCCCTGCACTCATGTGGGTGACCCAGAAGATGCTCCTGGCTTTGGACTTGGCAGCTCCAGTCAATGCAGCCACCTGGGGAGTGAATCAATAAAGAGAAGATTCTCTCTCTTCTCTCTGTATCTCTGCCTTTCAAGTAAATAAATAAATCTTAAAAAAAAAGAAAGAAAAGAACTAGAACATTCCCAGGAGTGGGCATTTGCCACTGCTGCTTGGGATAACTGTGTTTCCTAAGAGAACCTGCTCTGAGTCCCAGCTTCCTGTTAGTCCACACCTGCGGAGACAACAGATCAGGACTCAATTACCATGAGAGAGACCTGGATGGAACTCCAGGCTGCTGGCTTTGGACCTGCCCAGCTCTGGCTGCTGTGGGCATTTGGGGAGTAAACTCCTTTGATGGAAACTTCTATCTGCCTTTCAAATAAAAATAAAAATAAAAATAAAAAGAAAGAAAGAAAGAAAGGGAGAGGGAGAGGGAGGGAGGGAGAGGGAGAGAGGGAGGGAGGGAGAGGGAGAGGGAGAGGGAGGGAGGGAGAAGGAGGGAGGGAGAGGGAGAAGAAGGGAAGGGGCATTCCCAACACCTATGTGCTCTTTTCTGTTTTGTTTTCTGCATTCTCTCACCCAGAACCATTTCGAGAATTTTATACTAATCATTCCCTTATACTTTCTATAGTTTCACCACCAACATCTGCATTCTGAATGGTAAAGTTACCTCTACCCATGTGACGTCACAGCTAGGGTGTCTCGTGAAGCACATGTTACAGTTTCGGAATGTGAGCCTAGTTACCATACTACCTATCTCCCAGAACTTGGCAATTTGGAAAGCACTGGCATACTGAAGACTCGATTGCTGAGTCCAGTTTCAGAGATTCTGCAGGGGCTGCACAAGAGCCATGGGAGGGGGGGCACAGCTCAGGTTCCGGCTGCTCAGGGCTTCAGCCATGAGTTAGGCAAGGGAGGGCGTCTTCATATTTTTTGGAGGAAAATTAAAAATTGATAGGAAAGATTTCCAGACATGAACTTTAATAAACATTTAATTTCTCTAAGATGGGTAATTCCACATGTGTATTTCAATCTCTACAAAAAAATTAATACTAGAATGAAGTGAGATAACTTGAACCAATCTGGGGACTTTGTAAATAGCTAGTAATGAGTGAGAAGTGTGAAATTATGAACGGCCCTTGTATTACCTGTTCAAATGCTAGGTAAGACAACATAGCTAGTTGTAAAGCTGAATGGGATATAAAGAGAATTTTCAATCAAAACACCCTGTAGCTTCACAGTTAACTAAGGGACGCGTTCCTACGACACCTGTCAGAGATTTTATTGGACTACTGCTGCTATGCATTATTCCTTGCAAGCCAGAACTGCCAACTTCTGACTAACACCAACAACGGTATAGGAGCTGTGCACTCTGGGGGGCTATTACATGTGGTGAAGTGAAGAACCCTCTGCTGACCTGCTGATCCTCTGCAAACCAGAGGGATCAACTGTACCTCTGGTTTCCAGCACATTTGGCTTTTAATCCTGAGTGCTCACATGAAATTATGGGTGGGAATAGCCTTTTTTTATTTTTATTTTTATTTTATTATTTTTTTTTTTTTGGCAGGCAGAGTGGATAGTGAGAGAGAGAGACAGAGAGAAAGGTCTTCCTTTTGCCGTTGGTTCACCTCCAATGGCCACCGCGGCCGGCGCACCGTGCTGATCGGAAGGCAGGAGCCAGGTACTTATCCTGGTCTCCCATGGAGTACAGGGCCCAAGCATTTGGGCCATCCTCCACTGCACTCCCTGGCCACAGCAGAGAGCTGGCCTGGAAGAGGGGCAACCGGGACAGAATCTGGCGCCCCGACCGGGACTAGAACCCGGGGTGCCGGCACCGCTAGGCGGAGGATTAGCCTGTTGAGCCACGGCGCTGGCCAGGAATAGCCTTTTTGACTCTCTAACATCTTCCTTAAAAAAGAAAATGCCAATCTGATCAATTCAGAGAAATGATGATTATAAACTTTCATTAAAGAAAGAGGGACATGACCAGCTTCAGTGAAGAGAACTCAAAGGTACTCTACTCTGTGGTTGGGGTCAGCAGAAAGAGACGCTATCGAGACCCTGGGATCCCTAGCACCACAGGGATGATGGGGTTTGGGGACAACAAAACACACGTGCTAGAAGTTAAACATGAGAATACAAGCAGGTACAACATTCACAATCAACAGCAAGAATGAAAACCAGGGAGTCCTGGCTGAGCCTGTGGCAGGGGATAACAGAAGCCAGCACCTTCAGAGAGAGCAAGACAGACAGAATGGCTGACTTCCGCAAGGAATAAAAATCAAGAGTCGGTAAGCAGAAGGCCAGCATCTACTTCAGGAGTGGAAAATCATGATCCCTCATTAACCCAGACCTGAGCGAGGCCCAGCCAACACTGATTTCAGCCTGCTGTTTCCAGCAGCAATTCCAGTTCACCTTCTACTGGATTCCCGACCCATGGAAACTGTCATGCAATATGTGATTATGTTTTAAACTGCTAAATGTATAATAATTTGTTACACAGCAATCAAAAATTAATAGACTCAGCCAGTCCCTACTTCGATCCACATTCAACAGTTCATCTGATTGGCCTGGAAGTGTTGTAGGGGACCCAGCACAAGAGGGTGCCTGGGAGCTGGCCCAGCCTCGACAGCAGTATGTTCAGGGGAGCCATGTGCCCCAGTAGACTCAGCAGAACCAGGGAGAACTGGAGTGTGCCAGGGCTGTGTGCTGTCCCTGATAAGCCCACAAAAAGAGTGACAGCACAGACCTTCACAGTGCTAGAACAAGGCTGTGACGTCGGATGCCGAGAAATATTATTTGAGTAACAGCTCCTGTCATCTACCAGATGCTGAACAAGACTATCTGACCAGGGCTTATTAAGTAGGCCAGAGGTGTCCGTGTGGGCTAGGTGTTACCAGACTCCATGTTACAAGATCAAGCAAATTAAGCAGTAAGGTCTAGCAATAATAATTCCATGGAAATGATACATTTAGGATTGTATCCAAGCAGATAAAGACAAGTAATTTATGCAAACAAATGGAGCAAAATATTGTAACATCTACCTCTTTTGCACTGATACATCTCTCTCAGTTCACACTTAGCGACCTTGTGGCAGGAATCGTGGACCAGGTTCATGGCAGAGTTGACTCAGTGTTTTGTTACATGCCGTGGATGAACTGCATTCCTATCAGAGTCCTGGTCCAGAGGTGACACTAAAGGACAGGGATGAAGGGAAATTTTTACAGTGGACAACTTCAAAGTCCATTAAAAAGAGTGAGATGTCACCAGTGTCACTGAAGACAAGGCAAAGACAGCTGTGCCCTCTGGGACATCAACTGCAGTCTAGCAAGGGCATGGTAACCATGGATTCTGACACCTCAGGAGTGCAATGTACTTATTTGCCAGATAAAGCAATCAAACCAGCATAAGACTGGCTGCAGGAGAGGGGAATCGACATTTGGTGGTAGAAGAAGAAGTGGTGCATACCAGCTACGGCTCTGAAACCAGCTGCAGCAGCTACTGGATGTCCCACTGCACTTTCTGAAGTTCTTTTCAGAGGCTGGTCAGCTGCAGCTATAAGGTATCAGTAGATATCAGAGCATGAGTGGTATCAGAGCAGGAGTGGTGCAAGACACTTTTGACGCTACTCCCCACCCCGTGTATCTCCTGCACACTCTAAGTGCACTTTTGGCTACTGAGCACGGTCCCTTACCTGCTGGTCGGTTCTGTCTCTGGCTCTTTGCTTTGCCTGAGGGTTTCTGCAGTGCTATGGCAGACTGTCTAGTGCACATGTAATGCAAAAGTGCCAGAGATTCGGTGCCCTCAGTGCAACACACAATCCATGAGGGCTGGTCCAGAGTGGATAAATCCTTCAGCTTGCTAAATTTTGATATTATCCTCATGTGGTTCAGACTGCACAGAGATTTTCAATTGCAGTAAATGTGACCATGCAAGAGCACTGGTCTTCATGCTTTCTGGCTTGCACACATTCTTGATAAGCAGTATATTCCGTAGCTTTGTTAAGTTGGTAAAAATATTTTCATGTAAGTTTCTTCTAAATACTTAGGGTATAATTTATAGATGATTGTCACAGATGATAGTATTAGGATAAAATATACACTTTGATATTTACCATGTAATTCTGGTGCATTCAGATTTTATTGACATCCTTGGGGACAGTTGATTTAGCTCACTTGATTTATTGAAATTTTTGACCACATAGCCTATATTGCTGAGTAAAACCACTGTAAAAAATAATCTGACATATTCTCCCTCTAAACAACAAAATATCTTCTTGTTCTCATCTGACTGAATTTCAGAACTGCCTCTACCAGGGCCAAGAGGAAAACATCCCAGCTCCTCAGCATACAGCAGGAGTCAGCATGCAGGAAGGTCATGTGTCTAACGAACAAGATCGTGAATCAGAGGTGGCCAATTGCAGAAGACGCGAGGGGACAGCCAGATTACTTGATGTGTCAGCCATCTTCTAAACAACACAGAGGAAATGAAGACAAGCAAGTTTTTAAAAAAGAAAATAATACCAATTGGTTGGTAAGGTTAAAAAAATCACTCTCCCAGTATTCCATGCTCAACACTCTCAGTTCATGTTCAAGTATCAGATCCATCAACTACTAGATATCTGATGTCCATTAAGGGACAGAATATTCTTCAGACTTGAGCTCTTATGTATAAAATAAGAACAATAATAATCTAAGATCCATGATAATAACTACAAGAAAGAATTTTGGTGAAAATGCTGTAAACTTTAAGAAATTATGCAAACATTAGAAATTACTATTATAGAAGATCTATCTTTACACATGCAGGAAAAGTAATATTTTTAAAAATTGGCGCAAAAAGAATAAAGTTCCATACTCCCATATTTCATTAACCTATAATTTATAAAATGGAAGGCATGTGTCAACATTGTTAGAAGTTTATTCTTCAGGCTGGTGCCACGGCACACTTGGCACCCCGCGTTCTAATCCCGGTTGGGGCGTTGGATTCTATCCCGGTTGCTCCTCTTCCAGGCCAGCTCTCTGCTGTGGCCCGGGAGTGCAGTGGAGGATGGCCCAGGTCCTTGGGCCCTGCACCCGCATGGGAGACCAGGAGGAAGCACCTGGCTCCTGGCTTCGGATCAGCACAGGACGTCAGCCGTAGTGACCATAAAGGGGGTGAACCAACAGAAGGAAGACCTTTCTCTCTGTCTCTCTCACTGTCTAACTCTGCCTGTCAAAATAAATAAATAAATAAAGTGGTTATTAAAAAAAAGTTTATTCTTCAAATGCCATAGTGGGTTATAAGTTTGCCAATTCATCTTAGTGTCATACTTTTATAACCACACAATCCATACAACGGGCTGCATCAGCCAGGAGGTGAGAAAAGAACGCATTCAACGGAAAGATACAAACATGGAATGCACTTAGCGTGAACAGAAAATTGCCTACTTGAACAAACAAGCTGTACTATTTGGCTTTTATCAGGAGATGATTTTATGCCCAGAGGCAAAACACAGCTGTATCTTGTGTTTCTTTCTAGTGGACGTTATGGACTGAAAGGGACAAGCCACAGAAGTGGCAAGGAAATCACGTACTCTACAGTGGAAACAAAACAGAACTGCACCAAACAGGTCATTTCTGACTTCCCGTCTAAGGCCAAAAATGCACCTCGTTTGCCCAGAGAGACTCCTCCTGACGTCCTGATTAAAGGCAATCAGAGCACGGTGCCTGGCAATCCTGTCTAATTTAAAAACTATCATATCAAGTGATAACTGCTAATAACTACCAATGTTACACAGCGTGAAAATGAAGGTCAAATGCTATCATTTGAATGTTAAATAAGGTGAAGAATATAACTAGCTTTGAACAAGGAAAATTTCACTTCTCTTGAAAATTTTTTTTTTTACTCTAAAAATGTATTCCTGAATCTTACACCAGGCTGCATTTTCTCTCCAAGTGTCTGACACAAGAGCTGTCCTGCAGGGGTTAGGACATTCCTGTCCATCTCTGGCAAGCTGGTCCTGCAAAGACCCTATTCTTCTTCCTTCCCAAAACCCAGAATTTTCCAGAATAGGTCAAGACGTTGACTAATAGTAAAATTATCTAACACAGATATTCTCATGCTCAAAGAAGAAAGCCAGCATCTTCTAGTAAAGGTTCCCCACCCCAAGGTAGGAAACATGACACAGTGGCTTAAGCCACTCCTTGGGATGCAGGCATCCCCTATCAGAGTGCTTAGGATTGAGTCTGACTCTATGCCCTACATAGCTCCCTGATAATGGGCCTGGGAGACAGTAGATGATGGCTCTAGTACTTGGGTTCCTGTCCACATGTGGGTTTATCCATATGAGTGGACTTCCTGGCTACTGGTGTTGGCCTGGCCCAGCCTCAGTTACTGTAAGCATTTGGGGATTAAGATTACCACGCATAGTGTGTACTGGCCCCTCTGCCATTCAGACGAATAGTAAATCTTTAAAAAAAAAAGTCTCACCTCCCCCAAAGATTGTACCTGTGAGGGCACAGTAGGTCCTTGCTGAGTGTCATTAATATTGCAGTGTTGTGGGTTATCCTGTAGTTCCATCCTCTTCATCAGCCTTAAGCTGACTGTTGCAAAGCCTGCTCACCCTGCACATTAATAATTTTTCCCCATCCACATTTTATATTTCTAATGTTATTGCTAGAAATAATGATGATGTATTTGTGTATTATGGTTGTGGTGTTCCTGATTAGAATGCAAATGAAACAAGGGGCATTAAACCAAATCCGTATGTAACGTTAACAATTAACATCTACTTCTAAGCCAAATTATCAAGCAGAGTCTGGGGAATGAGACATCCCAGTCTCAGCGGAAAAAAACAAATGGGCAGGAATCTGCAGCAGGTTTGATCAAGAGGAACAAAGGTGTAAGACTGATGATCAAAAGGCTCCAAACAGTCAGATGGAGAAGCACTACTGCAGGGAAAGCCACCAGGGAAAGAGGAGGCCAGAGAACCCACCACCTCCCAGCTGTGCATCGCACTAACCTTGAATCTAGTTTTATCCACACCATCTATCTGGTACAAGCAACTTCCTGGAAACCCAAACCAAGATTGAACAGTTAAGGGCTGGTGTTGTGGCACAGCATGTAAAGCCACCTAAAGGTTAGAATCCCGGCTGCTCCACTTCCAGCCCAGCTCTCTGCTGTGGCCTGGGAAAGCAGTAGAGAATGGCCCCAGTCCTTGGGCCCCTGCACCCACGTGGAAGACCAAGAAGAAGCTCCTCGCCCCCAGCTTCAGCCTCCTATTGGAGAGAGTTGGGAAGTGAACCAGCAGGTGGAAGATCTCTCCCTCTCTCTGTTTGTCTGTCTGTCTCTCTCTCTCTGCCTCTTCCTCTCCTTCTCTGTAACTCTGACTTTAAAATAAATAAACCTTTAAATAATAATATGAACTTTTAAAAATGGAATGCTGATTCTGAAAAGAATCATAATGGTAGTGACCGGCATTCCTATTTCGGGGAAGCTGTAGAACAGTTACAGCTGTGAGACTGAGCAGCTACAGCCAGAGCGATCTTCCCTTCCCGGCGCTGCATGTGTTCCAAGACCTCAGTGGATGTCTGAAACCAAAGACAATACTACGCCCTACACACGTACTTCGCTTTTTCCAATACATGCATATCTCTGTCAAGTATGTAAAGCTCAATATCTAAATCAGGCAGAATAAAAGATTAAGAAAATTAATCAATAATTAAATAGGCTAATTATAAGGATGCATTAGAATAAAACTGCTGGGGTCTCTACTCTTGCACTTCAGAGCCATTATGGAGTTAATATGGTGACGTGAACACCATGTACGGCAATACCATGACAGGGCAACTGATCAACCGGATGGCTACGGAGTGACAGGCGAGCAGGCAGCATCCACACAGGGACACACGGAAGAAAGACACAATTCACACCAGGGCAGGACGGAGCAGCCAGTGCACGATTCTGGCAGTGATCCTCAGAAAGGCATACAACGACCAGGTTAAAATTATTCCTGGCATGTCCCACTTGATATTTTCAGACCATCGCAGATAACTGGAACCACAGATGAGGGGAGAGTCTTGTAGATGGAGAACAGGAACGGAGATAATGCATTGTGCGCGTTTGGCGTTCCGCGGACCTGGCACACACAAGAAGCTAGGTTTTGCAGATGCAATCCCTCTCTTTTACAGATAAGCAAAGGTCACACGCAGCC